TAGATGGTGGTAGAAAAAAATATTTAATGATATCATATAATTGTGCATTTACTATTTATTTTTTTCAATTTGTTTAGATATTGTATATGAAACTTCTAATACTTTTAATCGAGTACAACATTTCAAAATTAACAGACAGACTTAGATTTAGACGCCATATTTGACTACAAGAAATGTTTAATGATCTCATGTATTTGAGCAATAAATATTTTATAATTGTTTTTGTTTGTCTACATGTAGAGGGAATTCTTAAATATTGTGTGCTATTTATCCGACTAACAGATAAATACTCCTTATTTGACAAGGTGCTGGAAGGTATAATAGCTCATTTTTTAATGTCTAAATAGCTCTGATTGAATCTCTATAAGGTTATTGACCCCAAGTAAAAGGTTACGGTCATATATGATATGGTGAATTGTCATTCCGTTTGCAACACCTCCAAAATCAAATCAACCTGATCCACATAAAATGCTAAATCGAATCAGTCATGCCCACACTATTTAACAAAGATCCCACATAAATGACACTACCTAATTGGTGGTTAAGCTCTTTATGGGGAAGGGTATTCAAAGTTTAATCTTTGTTTTGTATTTAAATTATCTTAAGTACTTTTTAATGTGCATCGTGGCTTGTCATTATCGCTGTCTTCCATAGGTATAGATTATAAGAATCCGTTTAAACAAATAAATTATTTTTTTCACTAATACAATTTGAAGCGAGTGTCTTTAGTAGTGGTGTGGTTTAATTCTTTATATTGTTTATAATAATTCAAAATCGCAATAATTTTTTACTAATCATCATAGAAGAAATAATAAGTATTGAAAAGGGTTCTACTATTTTATTATTTGAAATGTAAGGATTTTGGGTTAGCCTTTCAGACCCAAAGACGTTAATAATTTTTCTGATGTATTAGTAGAAAAATTGAAACATTAGCCAAATGTTAGGTTCTTTCCTAAGAAAGCTACACCAATAAAAATGAATTAACAGACACATATTCATGTTTGCACTACATTCTCTTAAAAGTTGTGAGCTCTCACAATTGATTACGCTGGATCTGAAAGACTTACATAATTATCGGGGCAGATTTATCCATATAGCTCTGTTAGTTGGAATGTCGTGAAAAGTATTGCCAACTATATGTTGGTGGAAAATCAAACATTATTATTGGTTGAAGTCTGTACTATAGACCTCAGCTTATACACCTACATCTTATAAAGTGTTTCAAACTGTATATTTTAACAGTTTTTTTTTAATTGTCATATATTACCAATGGTTTGAAAAATATTAAGCATTTTTCTTAATTTCAATTGAGTTGATGGGACGAACATCGTTCGTGATGTTCGGAACATAATAGTAGCCAGTGCACTATAGGTAGTTTGCACTGTTTTTGAGGCAAAAATTAATAACAGCGGTGTTAAACGATATATTGACATTTTATATGTACAAGAAAGAGAAAACGCAGATTCCCACAGTAGAAACCGGATATAACGAACAACGGTTACAAGCAACTACACATATAACGAACCAAACTAATTCCTTCTCAGATATTTTCATTAGTTGTCTTATCCACAACATACGGTTGAAAACGATTACGGTAGTAAGTTAAAAAAATTTCGACCCCGCGATTGGATTTTTAAAGGAATAATTATTACAATGTCGTATATTTTTGCAGAATGCATTAATAACGATTAATTCAGTACCCATTTATACTCCTTAAAGTTATTAATATGTAAAAGTGAGATAAAACCATGCTTACTACAGTCGATCACGATTATAGTAAACACTGGATATACTGAACAACATTATTTTCATATGTCACTTTTTTATTTTTAATCAATCCTGAAAAAAGTAAATTTTTGATGGTTTATATTCTAAGGGGAACTCAAGCCCTCCATTTCCTCTTCTCCACTTTTTAGATTATTTCTCATAATCTTCCCTTCGAATCGCTACACAAACCTATTAACAAATATTAAATAAGCAGCACACCCCTCCGCCAATACTCTCCATATTTAATTTTTACGTTTATGCTTTGTATTTAGCTGTTTCAAACGTTTTAAAATACGACTTCATTTTTAATTTTTTTGTATTTCTTTAATTTAATTTTCAAAGTGTAGAGTTTGGCTACGATTTGCACCACTTTTAAGACACGTTTACGCAAAAAATTGTACAGAACAATAAATTTTGACATGTTTTCTTTTTAATGGCATCAAAAAAGGATATTATTTTCCAAAATTGAAAAAAAATACTTTTTGTCTAAAAACTGTCCAAATTACATATAGTACAGTGTAGCATCTACAAATTAAAACAAAAAACCAGTTTATCCACTTAATTTACAAAAAAATATTGCGGTCGCCTTGGACAAAATCCTAAAATTCATCCTAAATTTCGTGTATTAGACAGGTGGGCGAACAATACTTCTTGGACGGAAACAAACGTTTAAAAATCTTACTAAAGACCATATGCAACCACTTTTACGTAAAATATAATAATAAATAGATCTCTAAATAATAGATCTCTCAAATAAATATCAAAAAAAGTCACTATAGATGTTTCATTGTAATTCCCAGTTGTGATGGATAAAGGTTCAATATGTAATTAAATTCCTTGAGATTTATATATGAATTGAATTTTTATGAATATTGCAATTGCACCAGCAATTGGTAGCGGATAAAATATTTCCTTGGTTAAGTTCATAATTCGGATTTGCAGCCAATAATAGTTATTTTTACAATGGCATGTATAACATATGTTGGCATCTTTCAAATATAATTCAAATCGTTTTAGATTTAGTTATAGTTGATTTATTTGTGCATATTTCACTCGTAACATTATTTATTTTACATTTACGATTTTGATATTTTGGAATAGTCGTCAAGTCCGACCGGCTTTGATCAATCTTAGGTCATTCACCCACACTTGATTTATAAAAAAAAAACAAATTAATAAATTAATAAAATATAATACGTGTGTCATGTGTTTATTAATCAAAAGCATTCTAAGCATTTCATTTCCACTTTATGTTAATTATGAATATAACCGTATGACTGATTTCGTCACTTTTTATCCCAAATGATACCACATTTGAATAGCAGCACTTTAAGTTGACATAAGAAATGACATAATCGGCGCTCTTGTTAAATTCAGTCACGATTACCATATTACTTATCGTTCTTAAAAGATCTTGAAGTTGACAATTCAAAATGCATGAAAATAAAACATACGTATTTAGTCATATCGTATCAGCGACACTATTTAAACAACTGCATTTCCCAAATGTGCCAAATATTATTCGAAAATATATGTATGTATTCACTTGTACTGTAACAAATATGGTCATAAAATGCAACAATTTATTTTGATTTAAAAAATACACACATACACTGAGTGTAGTAATGCATATCCAAATATTTACAATGTCTAGCATGTGAAATTGATTGAGTGCATCGGCATGTAACGTTAAAAATTCTATTGGAGGAATAAAAAATTAAAATGTATCATTAGAATTTTGTTATGTCAATTTTTTATAAAAATAAAAACATTAAGCGAAGCGCTATAGTCGGACAAAGCCGGCCATATTGTAACCCACACAACTAGTACTGGTATTTACTTTACCATTTACATATATAAAACATGCTAAATTTTTTGTTTATCTCCCATGTTCAAGTACACGCACATTTACATAATTGAGATCAATATACATGTCAACATTTCCTTTTACACACATTGAAAAATGCGAAATTATTTTAACTGAGAAGTATAGGTCTATTTGTCCGTCAAAATGTTTATGTGCCCATTAACTTCATATCCCTAATATTTTTAGTTCCTGATGCATAGAAAGTTCTGTTGTGATTGTTAGCCATTCCTTCCTTTCGTTAGCACATTCTTAGATAATTGTAAAATTTTCAAATTCAAATTTAATTTATTGAGCCTTATTTTCAAAACGTGTGTTAATAATAGTAAGTAATACTTAAGACTATATCGTATTGTCTAAATTTACAATAAAATTTGTATTCAGCGCCATACCTTAACATAAGTTGGTAAATTATAATTATTACATAAAATTGATTAAAATTCCATGCTCTCGGGAATACAATTTTTAAGAGTGTTAATTCAATTTAACTTACAAACTAAACTAAATAACAAAAAATATTGTAAAATTTCAAATAAATAACATAGATCATATGTTATTTTCACATAATTCATATTTTGATTCCCAAGCGATAAACTATTGTCGATATTTTTTCCTATAAAGAGATGTATAAACATTTTTTCTAAACAAAATCTATTTAATAGTGTTCTCGGAAAATTTAAATTTCCCGGTTAATTTTTAATAAGTACTCAAGTTTTCATATTTTAATAACAGCTAATATTGTGCCAACAAAAAAACACCCATATGAATACTATATTTTCTCAATGGCTACAATTAAATATCGTGCATCGACACTTGTGCCAAATAAATTCACTCATAAACTTGTTTGTTTTCTTCTTTTGTTTTCAGCACTTTCAAGGAAAAACTACGATTTCAAATATACATTTTAAATCATTTATATGATTTTGCCTTACTTGATTTGCAAAAATTGATTATCATTTTAAAGCTACGTAACAACCACAATAGTATTCAATGTATTGTATTTATAAATTTATATTATTTAATATTTTACATTTGAGTAGCCATGATGTCACGAAGTTTTTTAAAATGCATCTGCATAATTACATTCATAATGTTTTATTAGTGTTAACATCATTTATTTATAATAACTTGTTTAAAAGTGGATATATTTGAGTAGTCATGATGTAATGCAGATTTAAACATGTTTAAAATATTTATTATATTATATTTATAAGAATTTGTTTTAGAGTAGCTAGGATATAAGGTGGATTCTTTGTAATTATACATAAATTGGCCATTAAATTGTAATTTGGCTTCAATTACAAAGTAAATAAAGACAAATTAAAATTAAATTAAATTAAATATCTTATTTTAGACTAACTACAAACAACGATGGCAGGGAAATTCCAGTACAAACTTGGTATCAACGAACTGAAATCAAAGGAATTCCGTTTATGGCAATCCCTTATTGGAGAATTCATTGGTAAGTTGTCCATTCAAATACAATATATTTGGAACATGTCAATAAAGTGTCAATTTTGTGAATATTTAGGAAATTTGATACTTAACTTCTTTGCCTGCGGCGCATGTACACAAGCTGAGGATGGTACATTTAAGGCGTTGGCATTTGGTCTGGGTGTTTTTATGGCAATTACGGTAAGTGCATGAAAAATGCGATGGTATAGAGAAATTCATAGAAATTCAACCGGCGTTAATAGTGGACGTTCCAAACTCCTTATACAAAAGGGTTAGTTCCAATACCATACGCACTTTCTTTAGCAATAATAATAGTTATGAATTATATCAATGCTTCTATGAACTTAAATGTCCCTTTCTACATATGATCTCTATGCGATTTGTCGCACAATTATTTTATTGGGTTATTGTATTGTATTTACTCAGTTTGGAGTCCATACCCTAAAATGTGCATATGTGGTTAATATTTAGCTGAATATTCGTTAGCCATCCTTTATTAGTTTCAAAACATATGAACCATTATTTTAATAGATCAATTAAATGTTTGGTTTGTATTAAACTATAAATATTCCAATGCTAAATGTTTCCTTTCTGAGATCTGGGACTTCAATTATTCAGAGATTCATTCCTATAGCCGGTATAAATCGTACATTCCCACCCCAAAGCCGCTTATAGTTGTATACTATTCTACTTAAAAGTTTCGGAAGATTCTTTACCAAACACAAGGATACCAACTACAATTTGGAACCTATTTCTCAAGAAGAATAATAGGGCTATAAACACACAATGTAGCCATATACATCCATGGCATATAGTCGTACATTCCCGCACGAAAACCGTTCATAGTTGCGTACTGTTCTACTTAAAAGAAGATTCTGTTGGTTAATCGTGTTCTATAACAAACAGAAGGATACTTACTAAAATATGGAACATATTTCTCAGAAAGAATGATAGGACTATAGTCCAGGGTAGTTAGTGCTCAGGGCCACTAGGGCTATATGTGGTAAGCTCATTAATATGAACTTTTCCATTCCATTACATGGAGAAAAGCAAATTGATGATAAAATCCTAAATTTATATTTATCTAATATGAAACTGTTATCAAATACAGCTGATCATATTAAATTACAGTTGGTAACTCGTTACGGTCAGATGTTTGTATAAATGAGATAACTCTTTTTTTCTCTTTAAGTATTTTGGACCGCATCCCGGAAAACGAGTAAAAAAAAGAGATAACTCTGTTAATTTCAAATTTAAATTAGCTTTTTTGGGTTGAATACCTTAATCAGGAATATATAATATGTTTATATAAATAATTATCCTAGGTTGTCGGACATTTAAGTGGAGGTCACGTAAATCCAGCGGTAACAATTGGAATGCTTGTTGCCGGTCGCATTAGTGTCCTACGTTCGGTGCTATACATAATATTCCAATGTTTGGGTGCTATAGCTGGAACGGCAGCTGTTAAGGTAGAGTAGTTTATTGTTTTAAATATATTTGCTTTTGTATCCTCAGTCATATAATTTTATATTATAGACTCTAATTGATGAGAGTTACTATAACGGCTTGGGACACACAAATTTGGCCAAAAACATTACTGAACTACAAGGACTTGGAATTGAGTTCTTCTTAGGTTTAGTATTGGTACTAACAGTATTCGGTGCTTGTGATGCCAACAAACCAGGTAAGTAATAGCATTCATATCAACAAGTATCCATTTCTTCAAAATATTTTTTTTTTTAATTTACAGACTCACGTTATACTGCACCTCTGGCCATTGGTATGGCTGTAACATTGGGCCATTTGGGTACAATTGCATACACTGGTTCCAGTATGAATCCAGCTCGTACTGTCGGCACAGCATTCGCTGTTGACAACTGGGATTCTCATTGGGTCTATTGGGCTGGTCCTATTTTGGGTGGCATTGCTGCCGCCTTAATTTATACTCAAGTGTTGGAAAAACCAGCTGAACCAAAGGTTAGTGAAGTATCGGAAAAATACAGGACACAAGCCGATGAACGTGAGGTGAGGGTTGTATGCTCATAAAACATAATCCATTATCGTTTTGGCAACGTGCTTTCATTTATTGAGATAATATTAATTCGAAAAGGATGAATATTATCCCACAATACACTAAAACATGTCCTCTACCTTTAGGAATTACAGAGTATATAGAATGTTAGATAAGAAATATTTTGTAATTTTATTAAATTTATTTGAATGACTGCCTTAGGAATAACAATTGTCATAGAATATATAGTAATGTATAGTTGTTATTTTTTATTTGCGTTTAATGCTCTACTCGTATATATTTAAAATGTTAGCTATAAATCGACGTAGCGTACATAAGGTCTCTTGGTCGTCCGTACTACAAAACAAACCCAATATCCTTATCAAAAAATAATAATAATGACTATATTGGAAGATTAATATATGTGGTACAAAGATGCAAAGAACTACATATAATCGTTTCATATTCAATCTTCGGTATTAAAAATCGTAAATAACAACAACAAAACTCTTGAACACAACAGTTTACAATATAAATCAGTTATTTTTAAGAACATTCCATTATTATTTCAATGAATTTTTTAATAACTCTACATATAACTGAACCTCTTGAATATCTTTTTTATATTTTCCAAGCCACAATATGCCTTGAAATACATACAGCACGAGAATCAAATCTAGTTTGCATAGTAGGAAATTGTTTAATGTTCACATTTCAATAAAAAAAGGTTTGCAAAATTTTCACAGTCCTATGTGTGTTCTCATCCAATACCAAATTACTTAACATCGATCACATTTCCATACCTTAGCATTTGCACCGAAACACAGCCACATAAATTTATGCACACAAAAAAGTTTCTAATAATGGATTTATGTTTGTAAAACTATATTTTTGATGTGTATTTATAACTCAAACATAGATTTTTGTTTATTAAAAACTATTTCTCTAAATACAGATGAGAAAATTGGAAAGTGGCCGTGACTACGCCTAAAGCATTTATTATAAAACAAACAAATGTACATTGATTCCGGATTTTGGAACATTACGAAAACATCATTCAACTGCACTGCGTTTTGCCTACATAAGTCTTGATACAAATAGAGTCTTTGGTGTGCATCGAATATATAGCAGCATTACATGTATTTTATTTTACTTTTAAGTCGATGAATTTAAATAAAGTAAAGATTTTAAATTATAATTCATTTAAAAATATATGTATGTATATGCATTTCAATTTCTATGTTTTCTCTTCCATATAATAATATAAACAAATTTATTTTATTGTTTCTTATTTTAAGATATTTACATACCTAATTTGTTAACTTATACATATAACAACGTATTTATGAAAACTAAAAATGCAATTTAAATTTAACTTTCCGTAATAAATTATGATTATGAAATAAAATATGTATTACAATAACAAAAACCCAAATATACTCTCTTCTATAGATGCCTAAAAAGAAGTGTAGAATCACGGTGAAATATTGTAATAATTTAAAATAATAAATAAAACATATATAACACAAATTTGTTTTGTCAGTATTGCAATCAATAACCATGTACCAAAATGGCTTCGGGGACCAATGATCTAAATAATTGGTTAATTTGTGGGGCACAAGCTTCTCCCTCGTAGAGAAGATTGGTTAGCCATGTTTACTGTCCCGACTAAAAGGGAAAACCCACTCTCCTCAATTAAACTCAATACACACATAGGAGCTAGTTCATGTGGTATTTTATTTTAGTAGTGCTGGCGGGTTATTTGGAATACCATTTGTATTTATTTCAATTTTAACATGTATTACGAATAATTTAAAATAATAAATAAAACATATATAACACAAATTTGTTTTATAAGTATTGCAATCAATAACCATGTACCAAAATGGCTTCGGGGACCAATGATCTAAATAATTGGTTAATTTGTGGGGCACAAGCTTCTCCCTCGTAGAGAAGATTGGTTAGCCATGTTTACTGTCCCGACTAAAAGGGAAAACCCACTCTCCTCAATTAAACTCAATACACACATAGGAGCTAGTTCATGTGGTATTTTATTTTAGTAGTGCTGGCGGGTTATTTGGAATACCATTTGTATTTATTTCAATTTTAACATGTATTACGAAGCCTTTAGGCCAATAAATGTAATAAACTATGCTAAACTGTATGATTTAATTTTAAAGGGATTTAGAGGATTCAGTATTGGTAGATACAATTGAGATTTGTGTTTATCGCTTCATTCGATTACAATGGGAATCCCCACTGCAAAAACATAAAAGAACTGATGACCACAAAGCCGCTTAATGTCCCAGCGATGGGGATGTTACTTTTAATGGGAATTTCCGTCATATATATGTCAAGGTGATCTGGTAATAAATAAATACTTAAAAATTTTATTTTTTCGACTTGGGGTAGATTTTCAAAAAAATGCGCACTGCTTACTACTCGAAATGTTAATTTTCACTCATCAGCAATGTTTTATCCCTTAAAAAGATTTACAATTTTTTTTTTGAGATAACTAGAACCTGCTATTAATTCGACCAAAAATATATGACAGGAAGATAGTCGAAGGAAAAACAAACAACTCTTCTTAACCCTTTTAGTGTCAAAAAATGTTTGTCGGAATAAAAATCTTAAATGTTGAACTTAAAATCATATAAAGGCACAGAGTTTAGAAAAAAAATAGCAATTTTCATTTAAGGGAACCCCCCCCCCCCCCATTCTCGATTTTATTTTTTCAAGATTTTCAATGGGCTGGTAAATCAAAACCAATGCTTGTTAAGGTTTGTAACTTAACACATATATACTTGAAGATTTAAATTAGAAGAAAAATAATTTACAAAAAAATTTTGTTATTGTTTTGTTGTTGTTTTTTGTAATTAAAGAAAAGTCCTTATTTTTGATGGCGGGCATGATAACTCCTCACTGAAACATCGGAATCCGAAAATTCCAACGGTGTTAGAAGGAGTACATGTCTGGCTCTCGTATGAACTAGGATTATTGACTTCGCTCCAAAATTAACAAAATGGTGGACCTTTGAAAAAATATTTTTGGAAAATCGCCGATTTTTTACCAAAACCCAAGTTAACAAATAAGGAAGATCTTCACCGATTGGCTTTATCCTAGTTCATACGATAGCTATACACTCACAGAGAAACGTGTAAACATTTGAAGTCGATTGGCTTATTAGTTTTTGAGTTATCGTGCCCGCCATTCGCAAAAAAATGTTTAGAGAAAAACGCGTTTAAAGTTTGAGAAGCCCTTCAGCCGTCACTTGATGCTGACACAATAAATCGGCTATATCTTCAAGAGTTCTTGAGATTTTCATTTGAAATTTTGTAGGGACATTCTTTATTTAGTGTAGATTCGAATTATATCAACAAAATTTTTGACCCCGAGAATGGGGGGTCCCCTTAACCCTCTGACAGGTTCGTCTGTCTTTCAGCAAAAACAAAAACATCAATAGTGACGGTAACCGAAAAATCGCAAAGAAAGAGAGGACTTTTAAATATCGAATATACTCGACAAAAACACTGAAAGGGTTAAAGACCAGTTTCGATGGGATGATGACTAGACAGCCTAGCTTGGTTTTGAATTATTAGCTAAGGTTTTTGTTTTAATCCGGTTATATTTTTTGACTTGGTGTGGATTTTCAAATAATACGTACTACTTATCCATTGAACTTCTCAAATGTTAATTTTCATTCCTCAGCAATGTTTTATCCCTTAATAAGATCTACAAATTTTGTTTTTATTTTTCGCATTAGGTTTAGAACCTGCTAATTATTCAACCAACAATATATGACAGGGAGATAGTCAAAGGAAAAACAAACAACCCTTCTTAAAATCCCGTATGGATTGGATGACCGGGGTTTTTTAACCTTAGGTAATAATTCAAAATAAATTTAGGCTTTTTCTTCTATCATCATAAGTTTAAATTTTGGCTGCCAGAATGGTTCAGGATTTTAGTGCTGCAAAGTGTAATTAAAAGACGGTTAAGATGTTAACCCCAAATAACTGGAGGGAATCACACACTAAATGACAGCAAAAAAATCGCTGAAAAATGAAATAAATTGTGAAATCATTCAAAGCTAAAATATTAAAACAGATTTGAGATACTTTAAAACCCTTTTTTTTATTATTTTAAAGTACCTCAAATTTTATTAGAATTTAAAAAAATCAAAATGAGCGATTTCACACATTTTTAAAACAACAAAACTATCTTTCATATATATTTAAATATCACGAATTCCATGTCACGCACTGTTACAGCGTGCGAAATATAATCGTTTGTTTATGCGAAATATAATCGTTTGTTTAGTTAAGAAAAATTTGTTTCCGAAATTTCTTTTGCAAGTTTTATTAAATAGTGTTACGCCTTTTACAATACCTGCTATTTTTTATGAATATGTTTGTAAATTTTGGAGATATTAAGAAAAATTTAGCGTAGGCACGCGCTACACAATTTTCCCTTTAAAAATTGGATATCAGTTTCGATATGAAATTTCTGCGAATTGGCTGGAGATACAGTTATAATGGGTTATTCAACTTATTCTAATCTATACCCCACAGAACTATGTTGTCAGGATATTATAAGACCTTTAGTAAATCATTATGCAGTTATGGACGAAAGTTTTGCCTGTAAATCCGGTTCTAAATCAACTTATTCAGGAAGGATGTAACATGTGCGTGACGGATACACAATTTTTCCATGGAGATAGACGACAAACTTTGTTTTATTTGAGTTTGTCATCTCAAGATCCACACATAACAGCATTATCAAAAACATCTCATATTAGAGTCTGTATAGAAACCTTTGTTAATTTTGTCACGCACGCGTTACATACTTTCATACACTATTTACCTGCACTTATCACGGGATTCTGTTGTTATATATAGGTTTATATATACGTAATTCTTCGTAAAATATTTGAATTTAATATTTATTACTGATATTGCTTTAGCTAACAGCGTTCATACTTACAACAAATGACACTATAAAACTAATAAATATATGTCCATGTTACTCTCTTCAAGAAAATGGGGCAACAAAAAGAAACACTACCGTTATTTTTCAAAATTCAACTAAAAATAAATTGTCACTATATATAATTTCATATCTATAAATATATAATTCGTGATATATATATATATATATATATATATGATATATATATATGATATATATATATATATATAAACCGATTCCAACAAAACTATCGGACAAACATATCCGACGAACCTGCATTTTGGCTCGATCTGGTACACATTTTACAATTTCATCTTATTCGGACAAATTCTTTGTGAACTAGATCAAAATAAGAAACGATTTCCGCCAATTTCATCAAAATTATTATATCTAGGAGTTACAAACGGAGTAAGAAACTTAAAGTAACCTCCACACTAAGATTATTAAACGAAACAATTCGATCGCCAGTTCAAACTTACGTTTTCATCAGAAATTACCCATATCCATAAGTAGCGCAATGTATACAAATTACAGATTCTTGACTCTGAGAATATGTTAAAGAAAAAAGTTATTTAAAATATTACCTTTATCTTCCCATTTTTTTCAATTAAAAACAACAAAAAACAGGATGTAGCTTTTAATAGTAGGGAACACATTAAAGTATGTGATTTAATATATTTCAAACTTTACCATTACATTTGGTATGAACATTATGTTTTTGTTGCCTTCGAATTATTTGATTGTTTAATTTTAAATCAATCCAAAAACGTATGTTTTGTTTTAATAATGGTCCAATTAAACAAAAAATGTTTGTTTCAAAAAATACAAATTTTCAATACAAAAACGAAAATTGCTAAACGTATCTTTTTATTGATTTATCTAATAAATTCAAGGAGAACTGATAGAAATTGTCACATTCAATGGAAAATGATTACATATCACTGCATTGCCAACCACTATGCATAGTATCTAAACAATTGTCAAACATTATCTTAACAAGTTTAAACATGGACGCCATGAAGTAGAGCTTATATGATTTTAAAAGTATTCGCTAATAGTACCATATATTTTTATA